ATGAATTTACTTCTGTAATTACATATTTTTCCCATGCCTATTTATGTAAACAACTTATAAGAATGGGCTTTTATTTGGTCTACCTAGAGGGGTTGAGTTATACATATGGTTTATGCAGAACTGGAGTCTGAAACTTGAGACATAATACATCAAACTAATATTTTCTTCAGCCAGGGAGACTAAACTTCCCTTTGGGCTTTGGAAGATGTTCCCCTTTATTATCCCATATACTGCAATTTTCCTGCTTGTGATTATTGCTATAGCTACTGTTGGAAGAAGAAAAAAAAATTATAAAGAAAAACCCAAGGATGAAATAATAGCATCAGTTAGAAAAGCTTTCTCCAGAGGCTACAGAGGTGTGTGCTATGTATTTACCAGTGATGGAATTTGTTTAGTAAAGCAGATGGCTTACAGGATGATACCATATGAAAATCCATCCAAGTCAAAGATTGTGCGCTATTAAGTGAACATTTAAAATAATTCAGTCTCCTTCTGAGTTAATACACAGTATTATCTCAAGGACTGTCTTTTCAACTCTTCATGTTAAAGTTTAGTTATGACCAATTATTTTCTAGCTCAGTGGTCTGATGCATAAACTTTTAGAGAAAACTCTTCTCTTAGTAGAATACTCGGTTATTACCATCACAAAAACATAAATCATGGAAGGATAACATTGTGATTGTTATGGAGTACTAAGATAAGAAATACATATGCTTATCCCACTGGATTTTGCAATCCAACTGCTAGTAGGGGGAATTCTTCCACCCAGTAATATTCTTTTTCCAATAATCACATATATGAGCAAGAGTAGTTCAGTGCTGAAAATGCATTTTATGCAATAATTCACTGAATTTACAGAATTGGAATAAATTTGTGTATCCTTGCTAACCTGTGTGACCTGCACACCCTTCTTCATTTTACAACAATTCAGTTAATTCATACATGTCTGTCATTTCCATGTGGTCAGTATAAAACTGTAATTCATAAAATACAATTTAAAACCAAAACTTATGGTGTAGATACTGCACCTTTTTTCAGAGAAGCTTGTAGCAGCATGCTAACATTGGTGGGACCAGATTTTGGCCCAGTACAAATATTTCATTAGATTAAAGGAAAATATTTCAGTACCTCTCAGCTGAATTCCAGACTAGGATAATTAACAGATAACCAATATTTTAGGAGCAATATTAAAATGCCCTTTAAAAAGGGCACTATTAAAAGATGAATGTGCCTTTAGAAACTGGTATGTTCTATTAGATATTCTGAAATTTGTAGGAACTTCAAAAATGAATGATCCCTTTTAATATTTAATATTAATTTACTTCTGTAATGTTGCATCCATTTTAAAACAAAACCTGTAATGGATGCTTCAGGTCAATAAGTGTTAAGAATGTTTTCTAGGAAAATTCACAATCTTCATGTTCTTATTCTTTGCACAGCATTTACTGAGTCTGCAGCATCATTAGCATTGGGGTTTTGTCCATGCCTACTATCAATCAAATGAGATTTTTGTAGCAACAGAGAATGATGTCTGGAATCAGCAAAAATATGTTTTTCATGTTAGTAGCCATATTATATCCACAGAATCCACCATATAGAGCCTTTCCAAAGGTGAGCCCATGGCAGGACAAAATGAAGCAGTGACTGATTGTGCCCAGTCTTTGCAGACAAGCACTTGTGCAGTGCAATCCCCTTGGCAGCTTCTCAGAGAGAGAGTTCTTCTGCTTTTCTGCCTAATGATTGTAATTTATGACGATCCACATTTGATTGCTAATACAATTCTTACCCTTCCTGTTGACAAACACATCTTCATTCTGTCAAACAACACTGGGCTCCCTCTGACCTACGCTTGGGAGCACCAGGGGAGCACTGGGGGTGCCTGCTCCAGCACACACATTGGCTCTGTGCACTGCAGCTCCCCAGAAGCAACAGTGTGGAAAGCTGAGAATTGGAAGGGCTAGAAAATGCCAAAATGTTCCCTTAAAGAGCATTTGTGAAAGATAAGACCAGTTAAAGTTTCATCTCACATTAATATTTCTATATCATTATTCTACTAAAAAATCTGCCCCTTCCATGTAGGCAGTCCTTGTTTTATCCGACAGTAATTTCTATATTCCAAGTATTTGGTATTATGAAATGCTGCATTTGGTTTAGATAACTGTTAAGGGAGTTAAACATTGTTTCGATAGAGAAGACTGTAGCTAATATATAGTTACAGAGTGCCTATTTATAGCTACTAAAACCTATGTATTGTTGGCCCTCATCTTTATTTTCATTTTTAGTAACAATGGCATTAATTCAGAACCTTCTCCATAGGAAATATTGCATGTTCTGTTGGGAAACAGATTTTATGATCTATTTATTCCATCTCTGGAGATTTTCCTCTCTTTTGTTAGCAGCTCAGATCTTTCAAATGTTACTGTGGTCTTTCTTAGGCAAAGCCTTCCTCTGACAGTATTTCAAAAGGGAAAGACAGACATCTTAAACTACAAAGGGTCATGTCATTTTGCAGACATAGTTAATTCTGAAAATCTTGGATTAAGCAGAATGGTTTCTACCAAGCTGGGCAAAGTAGTCTAAAAGTTAAAATTTAAAAAAACATTATTAAAAAGTTTCAAGGTTTAAAAAATGTTCTTTTCCTTATGATCAGTTCTAAAGAACTGATAGCCAAAGCACAAAGATAGTGGATGGAAGGCTGCCACCTTTTGGTTAAATTCTGGGACATAGTCTTTAATTTTGTAACAATGAGAGGCAACTTTGCAACTTTCTGGGTTATGATAAATTAGTTTTGCTCCTTTTTGCCATTCTCACAAAACAAGAAAAGGAGAAATTGTAACGCTAGAAGAGAATCCCTTTTGCTTAGGCCTGCATATGTGTTATATGTAATGTCTCTGTGAAGAACTAAATTGAATTGAGAGAAATTCTAAAGGCTTTGTTTTCTGCGAGGGCTCTTGTTTACAATGTTGGATGAGAAAAATATCACAGTCAGGAGATCATTATTAAAAGTAATTTGTTAGGATGGATATTCAGGTAGTCTAAACGGTCACAGACACACCTTGATTAGGTACCTTAGCAGTGTCTACACATACATGTGTGGAAAAATTATATATATACATAAAATTGTCTGTGAACACATATCAAACATGTTTCTAAACTTAGAGCCAGGATACTCAATAGATTTTGTCCTCTCACTTCCATCTGCAGTGTAAATCAATGATTAAGCATGAGAACTATTGATCTCACTTGTTTACACTCCTTATAGTACACTCCTTATTAGTGTACTACTCTGGAAAGTTTTTTTAGAACAATATAATGGAAGAAATTTAATGAGTATTGTGGTTTTCTAACACGAGACCTTTTCATGCAGTAAACCAGGTCTGAACTCTGAGAGGCTACACAACAAATGCTCTGTGGGTTCTGCACACACTGAGTTTGCATTGCTCTCTGACTCTGATGGTTTATAATTTGCTGTGGAAGGGAGAAGGGGTAGAAGAACAGCACAGTGCTCAGTGCAATTATCACAAATTAATCTAAATTAGAAAGGCAAATTTATTTCATTAGGTTATGTGGAAGTGTGGGGTTAACATCTGTTTCCCCTCTGTTGTAAATTCTTACGTACATTCTAAGGCACAGGTTAGAGAAGTCATGAGCAACTTCCTGCCTGTTTGGAATATCTGCGTGTTAGACCTTTGATATCAAATCAGAGATAAGCGTGTGTAGGTACATTTTGGTTGTCCATTTCTCTTAATTAAAAGCAGAAGAAAGTGAGTGCTCCCTGTGTGGCAGCTGGGTTTAAATGGTTCTGCTGAGTGTCAGACTGCCAGGCCCTCGGTGGAGGTTACAGCATTAATAATTCAGGGCTACAGGAGCATTTGCAGCCCGGATGCCTTTGAACATTCAGGCCCTTGTGTGCAGAGCAGGGGAAACAACAAGCTAGTTAAAAATGCATGGCACTAAGTGTGACAAAAATAGTTTATCTCTGCCAGAAGATAAGGGGGGTTTGAAATCTGTGTATTAATGAAAAAATATCTCCTGGTCAAACCATTAAAATATGCAAGTGAGCAAACCTAGTTCACTCCTCAGCAGTGATAGGGATGATGCCAGAATGTTTTTCCACATTCTACACTCACTGTATTGAATTATCTGTATTATGGTGTGTCTTTCCTGAAAGGGGTGCAGAGGCCAAAGCATGCTGACATAATAAGAAAAACATTGGGGAAAAAATGTGTGGGAAGAAAAGGAAAAGAAAAAATGCATGTTTTGTTTAAAAGCATGGCCTGTCCTCCCACTGCAGCAACTCCCCCTGAAAAAACAACTCTTGATGATATCTCAGCTTGAAATCTCATTAAAAGGAACTGAAATTTAGAAGAAAGATACCCTAACAAGGAAAATACCCTGGCATGTACTAAAACCTGAGGAGGAGGAGGGAGGAAAGTAATTACAATTAATATAAATGTCCAGAATAATACACTTGGAAGATTCTCTTTGTGAAGGCAGAGAACATGGGATATTAGCTAGAGGAAATAAAAAATGACAACCAAGTGATAAACAGTCTGGAATTCATGTTCTTGAATTAAATTTCATGGCCTAATCATCACAAACAGTGATTCTAAATCACACAGATGAGTTGCAGGGAGAAACAAAGGAGGCAGGAGTTCAATATAAGGTAATGCGTTTAGAAAATGGCTGGAATATAATTTGATCATGAAATGCTGAAAATTAAAAAGGTGACTGAAGCGAATTGCAAAAATTTCTATCAAGTTCATTGGGCCACAATATTTTACAAGGTGGGTTTTTTTAAAGTACTGAATATAATTGGGTGCTACCCTGGATGCTCTCATAATTAACATTTTCCTCAGTAGTGGTCACAGGAATTTTTTTTTCCCACAATGCCCATTATTTTCTGTGTTCCACTGACATACAGATTCTCATTATTTTCTTATTCCACTGACATACAGACTGTCTTTCTCCCATAACTTTTTATTTCTCTCAACTCCTAGATTGTGTCTCATTTTTGGTACTCTTCCCAGAGAGAAAAGAACAAATCGTGCAGCCCTTCATGAGGCCAAGCTGGATGAACAATGTCATGAACTTGGGACATTAGAAGGAATATCCTTGTTAATAAAGCAGTCAAGCAGAAATGCATTGTGTTTTGTGTGTCTTGTGCAATTTTGGGGAAAAAAGATTGAAAACACCAGAATGCTGCTGTTCCCAAGAGGTGAGCTGATGCTCAGAGTCACATCCTGAGAAAGAAGCACTGCAGTGAAGAAACAAGCAGTGTCAGCTTGCCACAATGACATCAGTTTGGGCTCAGTACCCTCTGGTCTCAAAGGACAGTGAGGGAGACAAAGGATATTTCTCCATCAAACCAAATATTATATTGCATTATTCTAGTACGTTCTTCACATCCCAGAGCACTGGTAAGTGATTTAGTCGATGGGCATGTAGGAAAAAAAAAATGGAACACCTGAAGATTCTTTTAAAAGGCTGTTTTAGTTAGAAAAAGGGAAAGATTGCTTCATGTTCTGAAAAGTTAAAAATAAAGCTTTCTGAAAAACTACCAATACTGACATTCCTAGTGATGTCTTTTCTAGGATTCACTGAAATTGGTGTTTCTTTGAACATGTGTGATACTCTGTGACAAATCATGAAATACTCAAGAGCAATCTACATAGTTTCTCAATAAGCAATTTATATATTGGCCTGGAATATATTTCTATTTTGTTTCCTCCATCTTATGCTTCACTCAGAATCTTCTTTCCCATTCCAAAGTTCAGGAAAAAATTAATGTTAAATCTGTAACATTACAGCAAAAGGCTTTTAGGCTTACCTAGGTGATGTGGTTGAAGTCATATAACTTGATAAAATAAACATAAACAAACATTTTAAGACTCTCTTTTAAACTTTTTGCTTGCTCAGCACTATATAATAGTTTACTCTGTTGCTTCAAATAAATCACTGAAAAAAAAGCCCTTATATCTCTTCATACCTCATCCTTCCTTTAAGAATAAATCTGGCATGTTCCTTGGGTAAAATATGAAAGTAACCAATCCCAAACAAACTCACTCCATATCCTGGCAGAAAAATTTCTGAATAGAGAACTGAAAATAGCAATGAAAAGAATTTTAACGAATGAATGTCATATAGCATTCTTATCCCAAAGTTTTCTCTTCCTTGGGGGTTTCCATCCACACTCACCTTTTCACCAACAGCTCCAACAGAGCCGATTGAGCCTGGGGGACCTTGAGGACCCTACAGTGATAAAAGATTTTTGTTATCCAAAATATAGTTATCCAAAATAGGGTGCTTATTACTCAGTTAGCAAGACAAAAAATAGATTGATTCTTACATCAGCTCCATTAGGACCCTGGGGACCTCTTGGACCTGGTGGGCCAGGTGGACCCTATATCAAAGAGACAATGTGATGTGACAGAATCATAGAACAGATATAATATAGTTACACTCATGAAGAATTTCTGACCATGAAAAATAATATACTCAATCTGTAGAGGGCTTTTAATCTTCATCATACAGCAGGAGCAGCAGGGCCAGATTGCTGCCTGCTGGATGAGTTCAGAAGGTGACAGAGATGCAGGCTGTGCCACACAGTGCCTCAGCTGGACATGACCTGATGCTTAGGACCCCCTGAGGACTGGTTCTTTCCCTACAGGTTCCCTGCATGCAGAGACCTGGACCAGCTCAAGTGTCTGTGCCAGCCCTGGGGCAGAACATGGTGCCCACAGATGGGCAGGAGAGGAGCAGCCAGACTTGGCACAAGGGCTGGAGGCAAATGTAAGCAATAGAGAGCTTGCCTAGCAGTCAGGAACAGCCCACGAGGCATTCTGTCAGCAGGAGAAACAGCTGGAAAATGCATCACCCAGGGAAAGTAAACAGAGCCAAGCAGTGTTTACTATCTTCTGGCCTTCAAGTACCTGACACTGTATGTTAATAACAATGGCCTAAACTTCAGGAAGGCAGCTCCAGACTCTCTTGTGCAGTGGTATTTGCTTTTTCCTCTTTCTTTTCTGAACCTGATTGTCACTGGGCTGTCTCAGGCACACAGAGCATCTGCTTTGCTATCTCTTTTTCATTGTTTTCTCATGTTACATAAATCTCATTATTAATGATGAGGGGATAGATGTGGGAAAGCAAAGAAAATCCCAGAGAGAGTTTATATTACACAAAATGTTTCATACTCGGTCACCAAATTCAGGAATATCTTATCAAATGGTGAGCTATAGAGAAAAGACAATAATATATGGAGAATATTTATGTCCTCTAGAAAGACCAGTGGGGAAGAAGTCTTACCATTGGGCCCACATCTCCGTTTTCACCTTTTTCACCTGGTGGGCCAGGCAGACCCTGAAAAACACAGGGAAGACTACTCTAAGTAGGGTCCCTGGAATGATTAGTTATAAATCAACATGAAACAATGTAAATCAGATCTACACAGCAAATTTGTGAACTTGGGAGGGGCAGGATGGTTGAACAAGAAGAAAAATACCTATTTGCATTAAAATGGAAAGAAAAGGAACAGAGATTTTTCATATTACAGTATAGTCCTAAGATGCTTAAACTAGGTAACATAAAAAATTTGGGCTGGAAAAAAAAAACAAAACCAAAAAACACACACACAAATGCTAAACTGGATGATTTTAAAAACATTGCCAGGATTATCCAGACCTGAGGTGGGAGTCTGGATAATTTATTCTCTGATATATATATATATATATTTAAGTCCTGCTGCATTAAATCTGTTGTTTATGCATGAACTCCATCAATATGGGATCTTTCATTCCTTATTAACTGATGTTATCATTTATTTAATAGAATACAGTAGTCATTCAGTTTCTGACACAGAAATTGGTGCTTTTACAGATATAAGGTAAAATAAATCTTGTTTTACAGATATAAATCTTGTTTTACAGGAAAATAAAAAAGGAATTTACCTGTAAGCCAATAGGGCCTGGGGGCCCAGGGAAGCCTCGAGGACCTTCATCACCTTTTTGCCCAAACATCCCTTGCTGACCTCTTGGGCCTGGCTCTCCATCACCTCCCTGTTTGGAAACAATGAAGAGCAAGACTATCACAGCTCTGATGATAACAACAGGAAAATCTCCATGGAAATGACTGGGAAACAACTACAAAAGGGCTCAGAATCACACCAAGTATCTTTACAAATGCATGTTCACCATCTTGGCTGGATGCAAGCTGTTGCACAAACAATACCAGCACATGCTCTGGTTTAATACAGGTCAATTAGTGCTGCATATCTCACAGAAATGTTCCCTGAATTCCCCTTCTCTATCACATCTGCATAAACATTATAGCTGTTGAATACCTACGTAAATATGAGTAGCACAGGGTTCTACCAATATTTAGGGTAAAAGAATTCAGAGCCTTTTAAATAAAAATAAGAATTAATTCACTTGGTATCAGGTGGATTTTAAAAAAAATACACTCTTTTTTAACTGCATATGTACTGAGCTGCCAAACACACCACCAAACAAGTTCACTGAAAGGATGACCCCCATTCACTATTTACAGTATTTAGTTTTTAATAATTTTGTCAAATTATTGCCCTGCTGTAAATCTGCCATACAGTAACACCCACAATGTTTACAATAAAGAACTGCATGTAAGTGGGCAGGGACAGAACTGTTAGTGGTGTTTTGAAATATATTCCTGAGTAAGGAGCAAACAAGCAAACAGTTCAAAGAAGTCAGCATCAGCTGAGTTATGCAAGGTTGGGGTGGCTCTACGAGCTACTTACAGCTATCCCTGGGGCTCCAACAGGACCCTGCAGACCTGGTGGACCCGGAGGACCCTGCAAGGAACACACATCCAAAAGGAAAAGTTAGTGATTGTGACATCTGCAATGAGATTAAAGGCAAATAGAGACACGAGAGAAACCTGACTTGCACAATCACAATCTATTCAGCATTTCCATATTTCTCCATGGAGGATCTACATCCTTCATTCACAACATTCACAAGTCCTTTCCATTCAGTCCAAACTATTTATCTCTCAAAACCTCAGATTTTCACATCTATAGTAGACAATGTTGGCATTTGTTAGAAGCTCATTTTTAATGTTTCTGAATAAATTTCCATGTGAACAGGAATCAAAATGAAATTTTTTTCACAATGAAAAATATCAAAACTTTCATGAGATTTATGCAAAATATCTCTCAAACTTTAAAGCATCATATAAAAACCTATCTTTAATGAAAATGCTTATTATTTGGAGTAGTTTTTATGAAACTGCTAATTATTTTTGCAATGGCACAAAGCTCATTTTGACCTCCAGAAGAGATGAAAAAGTGCAAGTTCTTGCTGAGCACTGGGAATCACATTTTCTTTGATAATAAGTCTCTTTTCAACAGAATGGCCAAAAACCCCAAGTCTCTGAGAGAAATGTCTTTTTTTCATTCTCCCTGCAGAATAATAACTTATATTGCATATAATTAGAAGTCAGTCATGCAGATGTGATACAATGAAGCTATCAGAGTACAGGAATGCAAGATACTACTTTACGTTGAGGTGTAAAGGATGTAGTCTTCTTTTTGCCACACTACAGGAAGTAGACTGAGAAAGGGTAACTCTAAGAAGGCACAAATCTCAACACCTGGCCTTGGCTAATTCTAATCTGTTTCTGATGCCAAGTTGCCTGCAACTTCTAGGCTTCAATTTCTGATTTATAGGAGAATAATGCTGGGATTTACAGACTTTTCTAGGGCTAAAATGAGATTATTGTGCCCTTTATAAGGGGAATTAAATAAAGGGACTTCTTAAGTCTTGCAGTCTATTTCTTTCACTGGATTTTATATATATTGTGGACCATTTTATTTTCTAGGGAGAATGAAGCATCAAACTCTGCATTTCTTCTCTTTTACAGTTTTATTTTTGTCCCATACCTGATGACAATACATGAAACAAAGCTCTCTAGCCTCTGTGGTGACATATCTAAATAAAAGGACTCCAAGGAATGGTCCAGCTGACTGGGAAGTGTTACCATGAGAAAGGAATTTGGCATGCATGGATTTTTCTACACTCTGCAAGATGCTTCAATGTTCTCCTTCATTTTATAGGCTCTGGAATGAAGCCTATACATCCTTAAACTCATTTAAAAACCCATT